TGGTGGATTTATAACAATACTATCATTCTGAAACAATTCATAGATAATTGCTACTACGTTTTAAAATTCAACTGTTCCACATGTTCTTAAAGTACTTAGTATTTTAAGCATAAGCAGCGGATGTTGTACTACTGGATAGCTTGGCTTCGACAGAGTTTGGCCAGTCCGAGGCTACTAATAGTTTCTGCGCTGTCGCAAAATTATTTTGACGCAAAAAACAAAGGCAGAGAAAGGTTTAGTGAGCTCTTTGCCTACAGCAGGTTTAACTTTTACTACCACTTCTACTTGTAAAGGTTCTAACTGATCATTTTCCTATCGGTATCTACTTGGTAAGGTTGAGCATCTAACCAGATCTATTCCACTTTGGTTATATTGGTCAGAAAATACAAAATTTAACATATTTTAAACAGGTTTAGTTTGATTTATTCAAAGTCCTTACAAGCTTTTGCGCAGAAGACATTGTGAAGATATTTTGAAGACTACCATACCCCCAAACACTATGTTTGTTAAGACCTACTCGGCATAAAAATTTATCAAAAGTGTCAAACTTTTCGATTTGTACAACAATTTAAGTTATGGTGGAAAGGATTAACCTGCAGGATGTCGTATTTGTCAAGCAAAATCACATTTTGAAAACCGCAACCAAATATTTTTTCATTTAAACTGAGACACGCATACACAAACGAACAAACATTAATTCATTGTCACCGAAGCATTTTAATTTCGTCGCTTTACCATGATTTATGTGTGTTGCATGTTATGTTGGCCCCCCTGGAAATTTATTTGTGAGCACTTAGGGGTCCAAGTCAACGTGCAAGGATATTGCCAAACAAACAAAAACAAAAAGAAAACAAAAAACAGACATTCAAATGCATAAATGTGCTTGCTCGTGCAATGGTACATACAAATAAACAAAGATACACGTGCATATGTATATATAAGTATAAATATAAATATATATATATATGTGTGTGTGCGAAATAGCGCAAGTGTGACGTTTGCACCAGTCGAACATTTATTCGCTTTGAGTTTGCAGAAATATGCACAACCGCAACTAAAATTAAATTTGGCACTGCGGAGAGAAGGTCAAAAGGACACACGCTCGGAGTTGCTTGCTTGGTAATATTAAAAGCACGAGTAGCTGTAAATAAATTATGTGGTATTCAGTTAATAGTTGCTGACTTAAATAGCAAGAGAATGCAATCAAAATGGAAGTGGTGAAAATCTGACAATTTTATAGCGGTAAATGAGGTAATGAAAAGTGAGTTAAGTGGGTTTAAAAGTTTACGAAAGGGAGGTAAAGATAAATAACAATAAAAATCATTTAACGAAGCTATAAAACAAAAGAAATTGATTTTGATCTATCAATTTTTATGACAGCTATATGCTATAGTGACCCGATGTGAATAATTTGTGCGGAGATTTTACAGTGTTCTTAGAGAATAATCCGTGTCAAATTTCTTGAAGATATCTTGTCGAATGAAAAGGTTTTTCATACAAGAATGGATCTTGATAGTTCAATTTGTATCACAGCTATATGCTATAGTAAACCGATCTCAACAAGACACTCGGATATTGAAGCTCTATCTTGGGCAATAGTTTATATTAAATTTCTTAAAAATACCTTGCAAAATAAAAAAGTTTTCCATACAAGGACTTGATTTTGATCTATCAGTATGTATGGCAGCTATATGCTATAGTGGTCCGATATCGGCTATAATGACAAATAAGTAGCTACTTGAGAAGAAAATTACGTATGATAAATCTACATATATCTCAAAAATTGAGTCATAAAAAACCGATCGATAGCCGAACATCGCAAATTTAACATACTCTGTTCAGAGCATTAAAATTACATTGATGATAAATAATTTCTTAAAAATCATTCCAATTATTTTATTCCCTCTAAACACAAATCAATTCTCAGTGCCATTGTAGGCACCCACTAAAGCAATAATCCGTAACGCATGTCACCATGCACTTGTGTGTGCCAATGTGGTGAACCAACACTTAGCCGCTTTTGCTGCAGCGAGTAAATCCAATAATTTTGATTGTCCACTCAAGCGTTCATAATTTATAGAATTTACAGATATGTATAATCTTTTTGGCAATCAAATTTGTATGAGCTACAATTTGATTTGTTTGACTTGTCCAAAGTAATCTCACTTAAATACATGTTGTAATGCAGGCAAGCGAAAGCTGGCGCTCGTGTAGCAAATTAGAGAGAGAGGATGCAAGTTCCAAGGCGTGAAGTAAATATTAATCGATTACGTTTTAGCAAGGCTTATGCTTTCATACATAAAGTAATGAGAGGATATTGAAACATATCTAAATAATATTAATATAAGGTATTATATCTATTGAAAACTGTAAATATTGTATAATATTAAATGGAAAAAATAGTAAAAAAATTGAATAAGATATTGAGAAAAAATGTATTAAAAATTTCATTAAAATATTGCAGGCGAATGAATTAAGGTTTACTTTTTCATATTTCTTTACTTAGCGCATTTCTGTTTTATCAATAAAAGTAAAAAAGTTAAAATAACGGGGTTATATGATAGCAGGGCTTTTGGAGAAAAACCATTTAAACGGGTTAAATAATGTTTTTTTTTTTTCTAATTCTTCTTTCGAAAGGGATGCCACCTGTTTGTTTAATTAATAGGCTCGAAATATCAAGAAGGAATACTATTTGAGTGTTAAGCATCGTTTGCACGAAGCTATTCGTAAAAAGTTGTGGGGATAATGACCCAATAATTCTTTGGATAATGCACCGTCACATACAGAATAGATTCTTCACGAGTTTTTCGCCAAATTGTAACCAATATCGTGACGCAACCACCATATTCGCCTGATTTATCTTTGTGTGACTTCTTGCCATTAAGCAAACTCAAACGACCGCTCCAGGGAAACTGATTTAAGTCAATTAAATACATTAAACGTGAATCGCTAGACGCATTGACGGCTGTTCTGGAAATTGTCTCTAACAACTCTTGCGAGGATTAGAAAAAACGTTGACATAAGTATGAAGAATTTTAGAATTTTAAAATAATTAACAAAGTCTGACTATTTTCTGCTTATTGTAGTATGCTTAAGAATGTCAACAATATCTTTTACGATTAAATATATTAAAAAACAAATTTTGCGAAATTTTCACAGATTTTATTTTATTATTATTATCTTTTTTTTTTTGGAAAAATGTCTATCAAAAAACCAATTTTCCGTTTTTTTTTCCTGCGATCAATTTTTAAGTTAAGGTTCTAACTAAAACACGTATTTTTCCACTTGAGATGATCCTATAAGAAGTTATCCTGCCAAAGTGCTCAGCATTTCCAGAGCTTTGGCATTCCCTCATCTCGATCAACTTCATTTTACGAATTAGTTGTGTATTTTTATATGTTTTCTTCCGTAGAATGGAGAACAATACACGTCAAGCACCCTTTTTATATCGGTAGCAAATTTTTATCAAAACGAAGTTTTATCTTAACTCACAATAGCTTATGTATTCTCTCGAATTTATACCGATTTTGTGTATGAATAACTGAAACATTTAGATGTTACTAACTGAAACCTTTGGGTTTTGTAATAATACAATTTTTTCGACATATCTGGTAGCTGCGTATTTATGCAAATATGAACTGGTATTTTAAAGTTTTCTAAAGAGAATTATTTCATAAAGACTCCTATGTAACATAAAAGCTTCAGTTTGGAATTTTAACAAAATTGA